GGTAGTAGATTGCTCTATATGGACTTTGTTCATTCTTTAGAGTAGATCGTATCGGACTGATGTGGTCTTCTTTATTCTCGTCCTTTAAGCAACTTCTGCTACCTCAAGTTACCTAAATTTATCTAATTCCAATCTATAGCTTTATTCTCTGGTGATCGAAATTGTATTAGCAGCATCGCGTTTCTCTTGTTGCTTATTTTATACCGATTACATACTGAAATGGTGTTTATGTACTTACCTATCGTTATGGTCAGCCGGGTAGATTTTCCGGATAAATGAGCATCGCTCGAGTCTATAATTCAAATTGGGAGGTTGTTGAGTTGTGAGTTTCAAGTATGGAAGAATCTATGTAGAGATACTCAAGGGAGAAGGGAAAAGCTAGCTCGGGAAGAAACAATACATTCAACACTTCTTAGTGTGCTTGAATTCATGGGGAATAGCACTCTGACAAAGGTTGGATCTCAACTCTAGGTTCTCCTCTCGTAGCGTAGCCAAGAAGTTAGAGGTTGAGGACCAATCAACGAGGCGTGTAAGCGAGGCAAAAGAGTGTTGAAGCGTGACAAGAGCATGGTGGTTGGAGGGATCGGATTGACTCATCATTATCATAGTACTAGTCTTTATGAGGAAGTCAGTGGTTTCGGTGATGAATAAGAGTTGTATGGCCTTATATACTTTTTGAAAAGCCCTTGCTTAGGCCTGATAGCGACGCGGATAGTTCAGAAGCGCATGTCACTGTAAGCGGTGTAACACAAATTGTGTATCATGTCGAGCATGGAGCATATCTTGTTCGCTGTTTAGAACGCAAGCAGAACACAATCCGCTAGAGTTTGTCTCTGAAGCTAGTGTTAATAGAGTTTATTTCTGACATAAGAGATTAGGAGAGGGTTGACCGAATCGGGTTTGCACCAAGCCTTCGTTTTTCAGTCGAATCCATTTCTTTTTACGGCCAATGAAATACCTCTGTGCAATACTCTCCGTTGCAGCATCCCTGCTGGGACCACTCATGTTTGGTCTAACTCTTGGCTTCACTGGTCAAACTATTGATACCATGCAGAATAATGTTACTACTGCAGATGGTATACCCATCCAGGTTGGTCCCGATGACCATTTGTATGTGTTTGATACCTCTACAGAAGGTTCGTTGTTCGGATCTCTGGTTAACTTGGGTGCTATGGGTGGTGCTATCCTGTTGGGTGGTCCTTTCATTGAGAAGTTCGGGAGGAAATGGACTCTGTTGTTGTGCTCTCCCTGCTTCCTTCTGATTTACGTGTGGCAAGCTTTGGCTCACACTTCGTGGCAGTTGCTGTTTGCTCGTGTTCTGGTCGGTTTCGTTGTTGGTGTCGAGTCCGTCGTGGCCCCCACCTACATCGGTGAGGTCTCTCCAACCGCTATTCGTGGCGCTTTGGGGGCTTGCAATCAGCTTTCTATCACGATCGGTATTCTTCTAGCCTATGCCCTTGGAATGGGGTTCAGGACTGACGCTGGGTCTACTGATCCCAATGCTACCGATAGCACCTTCTGTCAGTGGCGTACTGTGAGTTGGATCTACTTGATTCCGAGTGCTTTATTGGGTATCTGCATGTTTTTCGTTCCGGAGTCTCCTCGCTGGTTGGCTGAGCATAATCGTGCTGACGCTGCGAAAAAAGTTTTATTGAGACTGAGAGGTTCCAAGTCAGTCGAGGAGGATCCTGAGATTATGGAGGAAGTGAAGGCTTATGAAGTATCTGCTGCTCACAACGCTAAGAACGTGAAGAATACTTGGAAGGAGAGTGCTTCGTGGGCCTTCGGTGCGCTCGGTCAGTGCAAAATGCAGCTGTTCATTGGTATCGCTCTACAAGTTCTTCAGCAGTTCTCTGGTATCAATGCTGTCATATTTTATCAGACAACTATTTTCCAGGCTGCTGGACTAGATAACAAAGAGGGTATGGCACTTGCTGTTATGGCCGCTCAGGTGGTCGTAACTTTGATTGCGTGTATCATCATGGATATGGCGGGGAGAAGAATTCTCTTGGTTGCGGGTGCTGCTGGAATGTGCATAGCAGCTGTTCTACTGGGAGTTTTCTTCTTTCTCGATGATGTTAACGACAACAATGTCAGTTGGTTGGCCATCTTTTCCGCATTCTTATACATTGCTTCCTTCTCTATTGGTGTTGGTGCAATCCCATGGTTGATTATGGCTGAGATCTTCCCCAATGAAGTGAGAGGTCTTTCTGCATCTATCGCCACTGGCGTGAACTGGTT